GCCGGGGCACTGCCGAGGTCATGGCTGGGGGCACCGCCGGGGGCCCCGGGGACAGAACCCCCCTGGCTGCTACGCGCGTCGCCGAGAGCCCCGGAGCGCCTGGATCGACGCGCCCTGGCCATGCTTCTCCGCCTTGCCCCCTGGGGGGCGAGAGGGCGTCAACGGCGGGGGTCGTCGCCGCCCCGCCAGCCACCGCTGCGCGCGTCGCCGAGAGCCCTCCCGGGGCGCCCGGCTCGCCCCGACGGGCAGCGGCCGCCGCGCGCCGCCCCCCCGATGGAGGAGACGGCACGCAGAGAACGCTGGCGTCTTGCGGTCCCGAGGACGACCCTTGTGACCCCCCCTCTCAGCCGGCAGCAGGCGCGCCGTGCGCCCCGGCTGCGAAGAGTGCGCCCCTGGCTGCGGGGGGGCCCGTCTTTCTCTGACATTGCGCCAATTCGGCGCCCCCCCCCGCTCTCTGCTGACGGCCCAAATGCGCAGACCGCTGCCCCTTAGCGGTAGATTGCGCCGATGCAACGGCCCCCCCCGCCAGACTGGGGCGCGACCCCCGAGCCCCGAGGGGCGCGCAGGAGACCGGTCGAGCTGGCGAGCCCCGGCGGCGGCCACTGCGCGGGAGATGGCTCTCGGACCCCGCCCAACCGCATTGCGGAGTCCTACCGTCCCAGCGGCGCGCGCGGCGGTGCGAAGGGCGACGTGGACGCCCCTGGCGTGCTCAGCGGCGCGCGTCGCGACGGAGATGGGCGGAGACTCGCCCTGCCCGGCGGCGGCCTCGCTGATTTGCCCCCCTGTCGGGGGCAGAAGAGGTTGGCGGCTAAGACCACCAACGACCCCCCAGCCACGAACCCCCCTGGCGGAGGAGACGAAGAGCTGAAGGGGTTGACTACGGGGACCGCCAACTACCCCCCAGCTGCATCGATGCGAGACGAGTTGCCCCCGCGGCGGACAAACGAACCCTGTGCAAGGACCGCCCGTGCCAGAGCTGCGCCGTCCTGGACCCGGCGGTCTGCTCGGCCCCCTCCCTCCGAGGTCCCGCTGGGCCCGCGAATGGCGCGTGCCTGCCCTCAGACTGTTGTTCGGTGACTGGTGACGCTTCGGCCAGGGTGCGTGGCGGCGCTGGGGTTACTTGCGCGTGGAGAGGGCCCTCCTCGCCGTCGCGGAAGGATTGTAGAACGACGGGACACCGCCGCGAACGCCCCAAGCGCCCCTCGTCGCCACTGCTGAAAAATCGGCATTCCGGCACACCGCCCCATGCACGTGGATCGCGCGCCGCTGCCCAGGCGGGGCGGCGCCTGGCAGCCCGCCTCGCGCCCCGCCGAGACTGCGCTGTCCTGGCCGCGGGGCATCGCCGACGGGCATCGCGACCGGCGCCCCCCTCTTCCACGGTCGCTTCGCCTCGCCCCCCCGCCCAAGCGGCAGCGAGCGCTGGCAGCTCGAACGCCGCCGCGGTGCCCCCCGAGGCCGGGAGCGTGCCACCCCTGCCCCAAGTGTCTTCTGCCACGACCCCCATCAATGCCGACCGAGCCTTGGCCGCCACAATCAAGGAGATACAACGAGCAGGCGACGAACCCAGCGCGGCCTGTGCCAGGTAGCACTCGCAACGTGACGGGGGCATCAGGGGCCCCGGCCGACGCGATGCCGCCTTCCTTCGCAGTTTCCCCCGCCCCCTGGCCTCGTCGCCGCCCTGATTCTCGCGCGGCTGTTCCGTTTCAGGGAGACGCCGGCGGGGGTTTGCGCCCCCCCCCTCTCCCCCTTCCCGCCCCCGAAGGCGAGCCTTTGTGAACCCCCCTTTCAGGCTGCAACGGGCCCTCCGTGCGCCGGGGCGCTTCCGGCACGGAATGCGCCCGCGGCTGCGGGGAGGGGCCACTCATAAACCGACATTGCACATATTCTGTGCCACCAAATACGGGCACTCATACTTTTACTTCTCCTCCTTCGGCACCTCCCCCATTCGGTGGCAATCCTCTTGGCGACAGTCGTTGGAAACCGCGCGAGGGCATGCAATGGGGTTGCCCCGAGAAGCTGTGATACCCGCTGAACGGACCCAAACTGGCATCTTGGAACGTGGGAGGCTTAGGCTACGACATGGCGAAGCTACCAGAATTGCAATACCACATGAAACAACATAACATATCTATACTTTGCATCCAGGAGACAGGCATTACGGAATCCACGCACTTCGTCGACTCTGGTTTCTTGGTCATCTTAGCTGGCACGTCAGTGGAGACTACTGGGCGTTTTTTTACTCTGGAGTTGGATTCTTAATTGCCCCATGGGCGATCAAAGCGGTCGTCAGTTTCAGGCTGATTTCCGATCGGCTGGCAAGTTTGAAAATCAAAGTCTCTGGTGGGGCCCTAACTTTATTCACGTGTTACGCGTCACGCGCTGGGTACGAGCATGAATAAAGGCGGACATGGCGTGGCCGCGGCATGGAACTCATAACGGTACGCTCGCGATGGGGGATTTTAATACCCGGCTATATGAACAAGAACCGGGTGACGATCATATCATGGGGAGTTATTTCTACCGCAACGCTTGGCCAAAACGTCGGGACCGACTCAATAGAGAATTGCTGCTCGAATCTTGCCGGGCATCTGACATCAAGATTGCGAGCACGTTCTTCCCGCACGAGGCCGGCCAGCTCATCGCATACTACGGCACGCACGCTTCCAAGACGGGGCAGGCTGTGGAAGGAGAAGACTTTGCTCAAATCGACCATTGCCTAATTGATGGGCCACTTTGGGGGAAAATGCGCGACGTGTATTCGGATGGCACCGTGCCGCTGGCGAGCAGACATTTCCTTTTAATAGTGCACTTAGGCATCGACTTACACGCAATGGACAAACATGCGGCGAAGCAGAAGTTCGACCTCCGGGAGCTTATTACGGACAATGCGATCAAGATGCAGTTCTGCCGGTACTTCCGCGAAGCCAACGAAACGACCACTGGGAGGGCAGCCACGATCAACGAGCACGCTTCCAAGGTGAATGAGGCGATGCTCGCAGCGTCAACTGTCCTCGCGCGCGCGGAGGTCAGCGCACAAACCATGGATATCACGCGCCACAGTGGCTCTACTGGAACAGCGTGATCGTGCGGGACACTGCGAACATGCACTGAACAAGCGCATCCGGGCGAGTGTCCGGGAGGACAAGCGGAAGTGGCTGGACGATCAGTTGGACAGCGGGTCTCGGAACGCCGTGCGCAAGTTGAGGAAAGACAAAGCGAAGAAGCCTGTTCAAATAAGGGATGCGCGCGGGCAGCTAGTGGACAGCGATCGTAGATCAGACACTCTGGCCGACTATTTTGAAAAAGTGCAGTGGGCAGTGAGCTTTCCTGACCTTGCGGTCAAGGAGAGGCTCAGGATGGGAGAAACCCTCCCTGTAAATATTGCTGCGTTTTCCATTTGCGAATTGTCAGCTGCTCTCAGAGCTCCCTCCACAAGGAAAGCCGCGGGCATCGACGAGGTGCCTCCAGAATTTTATAAATCTTTGTTGTGCGATTCGGAAGCGATGCAATCGTTGCTGTCTCTCTTCCGGCGGTGCTGGGATGAGAAAGCCATCCAAGATGAATGGCAAATAGCTGTAGTCGCCCTCTTGCACAAAAAAGGGGACGCTAGTCTGCCTGAGAATTACAAGCCGATATCTTTATTGCCCGTTGCCTACAAAATCCTGGCCTGGATGATGCAAAACGCTTGCAAAAAGGAGGCGCGGAGAGCCGAATACGGAATTCGCAATTCGGTTTCCGACCAAACCGGAGTACCTCCCATGCCATAGCTATTGTTAGACGCATGTTTGATGCAGCGCAGGCGGCGAAAGCCCCTGGACTCATCGCGGTTTTCTTAGATTGGGCGAAAGCCTTCGATAAGATAAAGCACGACATGTTAATTGGAGTTCTTACTAGGTTTGGCATCCCACAACAGATGGTGGACATGATAGGAAATATTTATTCAGCACGGCGATGTATTCTGCAGGATTCCGCGGGTAACTCGTCGCAGGGGTGCTAAGCATCAGGCATAGCACAAGGCTGCCCCCTCTCGCCGTATTTGTTCATTATCGTGCAGAGCGTGATGTTTTTCGACGTTGATCGCGCAGTGGAGGGCGTGCACACAGATGTCGTCGAACCCGAATTTTTAGTTTGCCCAGACATTTTATACGCAGATGATACAATGCTTGCGAGTAGCAGCGCCAAGAAATTGCAGACGTTGCTACACGCTGTGATTTGCGAAGGAAAAAAGTACGACCTCGAATTAAATTGGGCCAAGACGGTGGCCATTCATATACAGAACAATGGGGTTGTCAAGACCCCCTCGGGCACCCCAGTGGTCCCTGCACGGCAAGTTGTTTATTTAGGTGGCCTTCTAAACGCAGACGCCACCGCCACGCCGGAGCTAACGCGGCGCCTCGGAGAGGCACGCGGTGTATTCACAGCGTTACAGCGTTGTTGGTCACACGCCAACATTACGAGATCTGGGAAGCTCGACCTGTACAGTGCGATTGTGCTTCCAAAGCTTTTATACAATTGAGAAACACTGTGGCTTTTAAAAACAGACCAGAAGAGATCAGACAGTTTCAATGCGCAGTGTCTCAGGCGTATTTGCCGCATTCCACATTCATATTTGTCGAGAGTGTCCAACGACCAAGTTTTGAACATATGTCGAGCCCGCCCTCTCAGTGAGGCGCTTTGTGAAAGACAGACTTCGCTCTACAACAAGATCGAAGGGTTGTCACAAGACCACCCGCTGCGAGTTCTCAACTGCAAGCCCGGATCATATCTACCTCGGGTCTGGGACCAATGCCAGAAGAGAGGCAGACCGAAGCAACAGTGGGCTTCGTGTGTTTACAAGCTTCTGCCACAACAGTGGTCCTGAGGTGGTCCCTTCCTCTTCTTCGTTCCCTCCTCCCTCCGCCCCCCCCTTCCTCCCCCTCATCCCGCGTGGCGCCGATACGTTTGCAGGTGAATTCGTATCCTTCTCACTGCCCGCATTTCTCTGCCACACGCATAACTTTTTATCTTACCAATGCGCCGTCTGTGCGCCAGGCTTGACTGACTGACTGACCCCCTCCCGCTTTCAGCAAACAATCCGCCCCAAGAAGGCCCCAAGACCCCCAGGAGGGCCCCGCGACCCCCCATAACAGCCCCAACAAAGTCCCGAGACCGCATAGCTTGCACCACGTAGCTTGCACCGCATGGCTTGCAAACGATAGGTTGCACCTGCACGACATTGCCTATACCACATACGTTGCGCCACGTAGCTTCCACTACTCCACCACATAGATTCGGATTTCTGAAAACGGAATAGGCTCTACCCCTCGCCCAGGGAACTATCGACTCCCCTTTTCGCATTGCAATTTGCAACCCGGTTGTGCCCCATCGTCCATCTTAGATACAAAATCGCACCATGCCAGGCAGGCCGGTCTCGACCCCCCCCCACCATCCTCTGCAAAAAAAAGGCGCGCGCACTCGTTCATCAAACATCATAATTGTCCAAGAACTCTTTAGAACATAGAGCACGAAGTGCACACGCGCGCATCGTCGCGCGCGCATGCTGGAATCCTTCAAAAACCTTCGGTGTCGCACAGGATCGAGCCCCCAACAACCATAAAACAATTCAGCGCGAAATTTCTATGTAAAAAAGGTGCGCGCGTTCTTGCGTGTTAAATATATAATGTGTATATATGTATATATGTATATATGTATATATATATATATAGCACAAAAAACGTGTTTCAACATTTTCTGAACATGCTAGCAAAAAGGGGGCTTCGCGCGCGCATGTCGAAACCGTTCGAACGCCCTTGCGCGCGTGCCGTCGCGAGAATCCGTAGCAACAAAAAGGCGATGTACACGCGCGCGCGTCGTCGCGCGCGCATGCCGAAATCCGATATAAACGTTCGGTTTCGTAACGATTTGAAAACTGAATGTCCCAAACACCCACAAAACACATAATTTCGCAATATCAGATGTCATAGAAAGCGTGCGTTCGCGCCCTTCCGCGTTCTTAAGAAAACCCGAAGTTTGTTCAACGTGTTTTGCAATTCTGCCAGACGGGCCTCTGGCGTCGCATGCCCACATCATTTGCAAGCCTTTGCGCGCGTGCTGGGCGGGCACGATCCGTGTCAAACAAAACCATGTGGGCCACTCTCGCGCGTCAGCCGCGCGCGCATGACGCGAGGACGCCGTCATCGTGGTCGGCGTGATCAACATCGGCCCCCACACTGGCCGCGCCTACGTCGGTGTCAACATCACCACCAGCATCGCTACTACCATCATCGTGTCTACGGTTGTCGACGTTGCCATGATACCGAGCCCGCCCAAGTCGCCGACTCGCAATGAAGTGCCCGCTGGGATGTGCCCAGCAGTCAGCGCCACCGAAGCCGCGTCGGTGGCGCCAAACTAGCTGGCCGCTGCGCGCGCGTGCTAGGGTTGGCGTGGCCGCAAGGATGCACCAGCCAACGCAAGCATGCATCGCAATCGCCACCGCATGGGTTTTGTGAAGCAATTTGCGGGTAGGTGGGTGGGATGTTTGCAACTGCATGCGATGTGACAACTCGTTGTCACAATGAAATCCACCACATAGCTTGCACCGGGTAGAACCCACAATGCGATTGGGGCCCACGCTGGCAAACATGCAATTTTGAAACACACGGGGCCGTAGACAAAGAAGAATGGTGCATCGCGCGCGCGCCGAAGTGCATGCTATTCTTGACAGCGTGGCCGGACACCACCCAAAATGCGCCCCCGCGTGGACGGAGTGAAAACATGGCCGCATACTGCCGCGGTTGAGCCATGGCGCTCAAGCAAGCGACGCCTGGGTGGCGAGGCCTGGGCGCGGCTTCCCGGAACCGAGGAGAAGAGCCAGGACTTGCGCGACCGTGCTCCGCCAAAAACTCTCGCCTGAACGGCGATGGGACTCGTCCACACGAGGCCAACAAGCCACTCGTGCTGTAAAAACCTGATGCGCTCCGCCCGATCGCGTCCCCCCACACCAGGCGCGCGGGCTCGACCCTTCGAAGCGAGGGGCCTGACATTAATTCTCCACACAGAACCCTCGATCGAAATCTGGATCACTGTATCGCCGCTGTCCTGGCAAACATCTCGGGAACGCCCCAACGGCGGGTGTTGTGAGATCACGGTCCCCAAACGGTGTGACAACCGCAAAAAACTGCGCCCTGGGTGGGCACGGGATCGAGCGCCGCAGCGCGAAGTGTGCAGTGGGACGGGGCGGGGGAGCTGCCCACCTTCTGCACGCCCGAAGCGGGTTATGGAAGAAATGGGTACGATGCCCGATACCACATGTTATCAAAAGCTGCCAGCGGCCGCAGCTCGGTAGGCGCCCTGTTGCCCCAAGTGGGCCAAGTCCGCGGCGACACCGACAGCGAGAGTCATGTTCCAAATGGATGATCCCTCCATACCCATTTCGATCGTACCTACCCTTTCCGTGCTCATCATGCCCCCTCTCTTTCTGTACGTACGGTCGGATCTAGGACAGAAGTACATCCCTGAAGAACATGAGATCCTCCGCGTGCCCAAATTGAAGAATGTTCGAGGGTGCCCTTCCCCAGGATGCACAAAAACATCCAACACGAAGAACATTCGGGTACCCTCCCCGAACCGACCTCGACCTGATACCGCGGTCCGACCGTACTCATCTTTCTGTCGCCATTTCGCCAACATTCGGCTGGTGTTCACGCTCGTTCCTATTATTTCCGTGCCCTCTTTGATCGCACCGACGCCCAGAGGGGGGCAGCTCTCGGGGCCCAGATCGCGCCCCTGCGGGCCTCCTCCTCCCTCATCCTCCCTCTCCTCCTCCTGGTCCTCCTGGTCCTCCTCCTCCTCCTCTTCCTCCTCCTCCCCCTCCCGCTTCCTCCTCTTCCTCCTCCTCCTCCTCCTCCTCCTCCGCCTCCTCCACCTCTTCTTCCTCCGCCTCCTCCTCCTCCTCCATCCTCCTCCTCCCCCTCCCCCTCCTCCTCCTCTTCCTCCTTCCTCCCTCCTCCCCTCCTTCCCCCTCCTCCCTCCCTCCTCCTCTCCTGTCCTCCTCCTCATCTCTCTTCCTCCTGCTCCCCCTCCCGCTTCCTCTTCTTCCTCCTCCTCTTCCTCCGCCTCCTCCACCTCCTCTTCTTCCTCCGCCTCCTCCTCCTCCCCGCTCCCTCCTCCTCCTCCTCCTCCCTCCCTCCTTCCTCATTCCCCTCCTCTTTCTCCTCCTCCTCCTTCCTCCTACTCCTCTACTCCTCCTACTCCCTCCCAGTCCCAACCCCTCCCCCGCTGCCGCCGCCGCCTCCTCCCGCCTCCTCCTCTGTCTCCTCCTCTGTCTCCCCCTCCTCCTCCTCTCTCCTCCTCCTTCCTCCTCCTCCTCCTCCTCCTCCTCAGCATCAGCATCAGCATCAGCATCAGCAGCATCAGCAGCATCAGCAGCAGCAGCATCATCATACTCATAATAATCAGCATCATCATCATCATCATCATCATCATCATCATCATCATCATCATAATCATCATCATCATCATCATCATCATCATCATCATCATCATCCTCATCCTCCTCCTCATCATCATCATCATCATAGTCATCATCATCAGCATCATCATCAGCATCATCATCATCATCAGCATCATCATCATCAAAATCATCAATACCATCAATATCGTCATCATCATCATCATCATCATCATCATCATCATCATCATCATCGTTATCACCAGCATCATCATCATCATCATCATCACCATCATCATCATCAGCATCATCAGCATCATCAGCATCAGCAGCATCAGCAGCATCATCAGCATCATCATCATCGTCAGCATCGCCATCACCATCATCATCACCATCATCATTATCACCATCAACATCATCATCACCATCATCAGCATCATCATCATCCTCACCGTCACCATCACCATCACCATCACCATCACCATCATCATCATCATCATCAGCATCATCATCATCATCAGCATCAGCATCAGCATCAGCAGCAGCATCAGCATCAGCACCATCAGCACCATCAGCACCATCAGCACCATCAGCACCATCCTCATCCTCATCCTCATCCTCATCCTCATCCTCATCCTCATCCTCATCCTTATCCTCATCCTCTTCCTCTTCCTCCTCCTGCTTCTCCTCTTCTGCCGCCGCCACCTCCTCCTCCTCCTCCTTCTCCTCCTCTGTCTCCTCCTCCACTGCCTCCCCACCCCCCTCCCCCGGGGGGAACGGGGTGCGCCAAGTGTGGGGGGACACGCCGAGCGCCGCAGCGGCTCGCTGGCCATGGCGGCCGCCAGCAAAGCCCTCCGAGCGCCCTCCCGTGAGGCGCCGCCCACCGCCCACCCCCCGTCTGCCCTGCCCAGCCCCGCCCTCCCCCCCCCGCCCCGCCCCGCCCCTGCCTTCCTCTACCCTCCGCCCCTCTTGCCCCTCTTGCTGCTCCTCCTCCTCCTGGCCGTCGCGCCGCTTCTCCTGCTTCGCCTCCTCCTCCTCCTCCCGGCCCCTCCTGCCCCCCCCTCCCCACGGGGAGAGAAGGCGGGACCCCCCCCCTATCCCGTCTCCACCCGGTGAACCCTGCCCCCCCCTCCCCCCCTGTGCCCATCGCAACCTGCCCCGCGAGCTAGATGCTTCGACCGCCCACGACCAACGAGCCGCAGGCTGCGACAGCTGTATCTCCGCGGGCCTCGCGGCAAGCTCGCGAGGCCCTCTGGAACGAGGGGGGGGTGCGCGCAGATCGAGTCGGGATCGACTGCAGAATTTTTGTACCCCAGAATTGTTTCTCCCGTCGAATCTAGAAGCAGTGCGTGTAGAATGCTTCGTAGATCTACGGAGCACTCTACGCAGTTCGCAGCTCGAACGGGGAAATCAATGTGGGGTGAATCGATCATGCAGTCGATCCCCTACTCGAGCAGAGCGAGCGGGAGCTAGGACGGGAGGAGGGGCAGCAGCAGGGGCCTCTCCAAGGCCGCCTCCGCCGCTCCCTCTCCGCGCACGAGGGCTGAAGCTGCAAGGCCCCCCCTCGCGAGGAAGCGAGACGCCACAGGACAAACCACCTCTGGAGGCCTGCCAGATGGGGTCGGAGTACAGTCGGACCCAGACCAGCAGAGCATCCCTGAAGAGTATGAGACCCTGCGTCGGCCAAGAACAAACAGAACATCCAAGTTTACCCTCCCCAGGATGTGCAAGGACATCCAACGAGCACGAAGAGCACTATGGGACCCTCCCCGAACCGACCTCGATCTTACACCTCGGTCCGACTGTTGGTGGGGTCGGAGGATCGGGTCGCATCGTCAATGCACCACCGGTACATCGGCGATACGTCGGCGACGTCGGCGATGCATCGGCGACGTCCGCGTGGAGAAACTCGGGCTCCGCGCCGAGCCGCATCGCCGATGCGCTGGCGATGCGCTGGCGATGCGGCGCGATCCTCCGACCCCATCCACTCTCACCCCACCTGGAGGGCCTACCCACAAGTCGGAAGAAGTATGTGGAAACATGAAGTAGAAAGGCGGATCAAGTGGATTGGGTTGGGCCCCATCCAAATCCGCCGATCCGGCGTGTGAGTTTGAAGGAGTCTCAGCTACAGCCTCGAGGCTGAGCCTCAGCCTCTGGGGGGGCTGCCGGGGTGGCTCTGCCGGGGAAGGGGGGGTGGGGGGGGGGTACGAGTTTTCCAGCGGTCGCGGGGGGCTGCTTTTACAGAAGGCTCTAATCTCGAGGATGCGCTGAAAGGATGGCCGCGGCAGCAAAAGTCTCTGAGGACGGTCTAAGAAAGTCCCGAGACCCCGAAAGATCGCCCGAACACGCCCAAGATGGCCCCAAGACGGCCCAAGAGCCTTCCAAGACGTCTGAAGAGGCCTCCAAGAAGCCTCCGGGCCGCATCGTCAATGCACCACCGGTACATCGGCGATACGTCGGCGACGTCGGCGATGCATCGTTACAAGCATCGGCGACGTCCGCGTGGAGAAACTCGGGCTCCGCGCCGAGCCGCATCGCCGATGCGCTGGCGATGCGGCGCGATCCTCCGACCCCATCCACTCTCACCCCACCTGGAGGGCCTACCCACAAGTCGGAAGAAGTATGTGGAAACATGAAGTAGAAAGGCGGATCAAGTGGATTGGGTTGGGCCCCATCCAAATCCGCCGATCCGGCGTGTGAGTTTGAAGGAGTCTCAGCTACAGCCTCGAGGCTGAGCCTCAGCCTCTGGGGGGGCTGCCGGGGTGGCTCTGCCGGGGAAGGGGGGGTGGGGGGGGGGTACGAGTTTTCCAGCGGTCGCGGGGGGCTGCTTTTACAGAAGGCTCTAATCTCGAGGATGCGCTGAAAGGATGGCCGCGGCAGCAAAAGTCTCTGAGGACGGTCTAAGAAAGTCCCGGGACCCCGAAAGATCGCCCGAACACGCCCAAGATGGCCCCAAGACGGCCCAAGAGCCTTCCAAGACGTCTGAAGAGGCCTCCAAGAGGCCTCCCACGAGGGCCCCCAGAGGCAAAAATCGTTGATTTCCATGTGTTTTTTTCAATGTTTTTGGGGTTGTCGCTTTTTTCGGCTTTCCGACGCTCCAAGACGGCCCAAGAGGCCCCCAAAACCGCTCGAAGACGGCCCAGGAGGCCCCCAGGCAGTCCCAAAACGGCCCAAGAGGGCCCCAAGGCGGCCCAAGAGCCGCCCAAGACGGCCCAAGAGGCCCCCAAGACGGCCACAAGAGGCCCCAAAAGATGGACGAAAAGCGGACAACATGTAGCCTTCCAGCCCACGAGGCCCCCAGGAGGCCCCAAGAGCCCCCAAGAGGGCCCCCAAAAGCCCCCAAGACGCCCTGACAGGCTCCTAAGATGGCGCCAAAAACGCCCCAAGAGGGCGTCCTTGCGCCGATAGTGTGTGTGGGTGGTGGTGTGTGTGCATGTCTGCGGCGCGGATTAAGTGGTGTGACTGTGTGTGTGTGTGTGTGTGTGCGTTTGAGTGTGCGCCCATAATGTCTGCGTCTGGAGAATAACACCGAGCGACCCGGATCGGCGGCACTGGCCGAAGGCCACTACAATATAACGTCAAACTTACAAAGCATATCGATTATTGAAAAACGAAGGCGCTTGAAGTAGATTTGGACCTTGCAGCCGTCACGAATAACTACTTTGAAAGACCAGCGTGCAGAACTTTGGCATGGGGACTAACGGTGTCGAGAAGGAGACGGGCCCTGGGGGCACCAGGACTTTCCCTGGGAACACTTTCGGACCGAATATCGCCGTCTGACGCCCCCGTGGCTCTGAGAGAAAGCCTGGGGAGGCCGAAACCAACGAACAAAAACCTGGAGACCAGTGTCCCTCTTCATGGTGACCTACTGTGGGACCTTCCTCGTCATAGACCTTCAGGATGCGATCGCCTACCCAGACGACCGCATACCAGAGGATGTATTAGCCAAGCATGGTCGCGAAGAGTGCTTTTGATGAAACAACTACTGTGGGACCGCCTCCTCCCTCTGAAGACCAACTCTGCGGCGAACACAAGCGACCAGGCCAGGGAGCCGGCCACCCGAGGACCAGCGGGGGGCTCTCTGAAGGCGGACCCCAACATCATGCACGGCAAGTTGGTGCCGTGACGACCCCAGCGCTTGTTTCTGACACCACGTGCTCGGACTCGGGCTCGGCTCCGCGCGCGCGGCGCCAAGAAGGCACCGCGGCGGGGGCGCCGCAGCGCCAGCATGGAAGACACAGCACAAGCGCGGGCAGGTGAGCATGATGCATGGGAAGCGTCAGGAGGAGGAGGAGGGGAAGGAGGGACGGGCGGCAGCGTCACTTCGTGAGGAACACGCGCCCTTTTCAGCCTTGAACGATCGGCGGCTTCTCGATCGCCAGATCGCTCCATACTGGCCGACGCTGCGACGCCGGCGGCGGTCCGCCTGCAGCTCTGCCCCGTCCCTGCCCTGCTTTCCTGCTCTGCTCCCGCGCTCCTCTGACGCTGGCCTGGCTCTGCGCAGCGGGGACCTGCCTCCCCCTCCTCCTTCTCTCCTCACCGCTGCTCCTGCTCTTCGTCCTCGTCCTCCTCCCCCTCCTGCTCGCTCTTCCTCCTCGTCCTCGGTCCTCGAGGTCTGTGTTTTCTTGGCCTCCGGACGGCTCAAAACCCCTGGAGGCCTCCAGGGACCGCGGCTGCCTGGTCGACTGGGCAGACCGGTGCGCGTGCCCCGAGAAAGGCAGCCGTCTGCTCCCGCCACTGCGGAGGCCCAGGCGTGCCTTAAGTGGGACACGGTGCGACCCGATCATGAGGATGCGCGGTACCTCGCAATCGCTCAGATGTCCATTGCCCGTGCATTTCTCGGCTTCGTGCGTGTAATTTTCTCGCAAGATGACCCCCAATGCTCCTTGATGGCAATCGCCGAGAAAAAATGCACGCGTGCAAACGATGCCACGATACGGCTGCAAGGCCCCTGGACGTCCATATCGAAGAATGCAAAAACACCCTTGAAAAGCTGACCGCCGGTCGGAAAATATGGATAGAGCCACGAAGCAGAAATGCGTAGGAAGCAGATTGGATTTCTACCTGGCCCCTGAAGAGGAGGGAAATAAGAAAACCACACGATCCTTAACGTAGGAAGGCGCCGAACATGGATTGGAATCCGAGAATCCTACAATGCCTACTTTCAACGACCGATAGGTACTCGTCCTTATGATTCTTACTCGGGGATCTACTGGCCCGGATCAATCCAGACCCAGGCCAGTCGGGCTTTGCAAGATCCTGCAAGATCCTGCACGCAAGTCTGGGTGCATGCACCCTGGTTCTATAGGATCCTGCAAGATCTGGCGCTCTGACTGGCCCCCGTTTGCATTGATCCCCGTCTCTTGAGCCCCGGCTTATGACCCTCATGAGCCTTAGAAAAGTGTTCGTCCTTGCAGTCAGACCTAGGCCAGAAGAACATCCCTCAAGACTATGAGACCCTGCGTCGGCCAAAATAAACAGAACATCCCAATTCACCCTCCCCAAGATGCACAAACACGAAAA